AGGTAATTGTTATTCCTATTCTTTTAATGTAATTATTTTTTCGCATGTTCTTATTTTTATTTTTTCAATTTATTATATGACAAACAGATGTGATTATAACCAGTACCATTAATATTGTAAATTAACAAAACAATAGGTAACCATAATATTTTGTGCATTATCAAATTTTAGATTTATTGCCTTCTTGTTCCATTTCATTTGTATCGGATTTACACTCTAGACCTTATTAACATATGATATGTCTGACTATTTATAAACAAATTTTACATTTTGTAAATTTAGGAATATAAATAGATTTATAAATTTTATAAATTTAATAACTTATGAATGTAATGCGATTCAAAATATATATTTTCTCTGTTACGAATTTCATTCCAAATTAATTATCCGAAAATTGAGCAAAAATTATAAAATTGTATGGTATTTAAAACATTTAACACGGGTGACGGCGATTAGCGTTAAGGTAGGATTCTCGTGTAACAGGTGCAAAAAAATCGTTTTTTTTTACATAAATCAAAAGTATAACACTTTAGAAACATGCGCCTAACATTTTTTAGTTGAATTCGGGAAAATAACGAAGTTAGAGTTGGCTTAGTAAGACACGCCAGAGGTCGGCGATAAGTTTTTATGGAGTGTCACAATAGTATGTCGGTGATGTTTATGAAATACAATTTTGAGATGGACGGATAACGTAATAATGGTACACACATGGTATCGTTGTTTATATTTGAAGACTATTTAGAAAAAAAAAGGGGGAAAATTGGAGGACACGGTCAATTGACGGACGCGTTGATAAAAAAAATTGACAAAGTACTATGACTTGCAATCAGAAGAAATCCGAATTCTGCGAGTGGTATAAAAAAAGCTGTATTAATCACATATTATCACATGTATTCTACTAACGAAAATTCGCAACACCACTATTGTTCATCAGGAACCGCAAATTGGTGTAAATGAAGAGTTGCAGAGACAACAGGAAAACTTGGCGAATTTGAACATCAACCTGGTTTTTCCAAACTCTAAAGCTTCAGTGCAGCCATTTGGCGTCTGGCTCCAAAGTTTCTTCATTGCGATGTGAAAACAATCGAAATTGCAATATTTAATGAAGGTTTTTATGCAATCCCTAAAATAATGACACTGGATATTGTGATTGGGCAACATTGTAAAAATATTGCCGATTCTCACAACGAGATACCTCTAGCAAGAGCAGAGCGTTGTAGCTTGGAAAGAACAAAAGCAGCTCGTACTGCACGAAGAGAGAAAAAAACACATCAGCAGGACTTGCTCAAGGAAGAGGAAGATTCATTTTATGGTTCAGGCATAGAATACCAAGTCTCTAATCGAATTATGTTACCGAATTCAAAAACATAAACTGTAAGTATCTTGAAACTTCGTTAAAACTTTAAACGCGTTTCTTTCGAAACCATGTTTTTTAAATTGGCTGTCACGATAACTCAATATCTAATTGACAATGCTTGTTCTATTTGTTATACATTTCTCTAGGGACTATACCTTTGATTTTTATTTTACTTTTTATTTATGATATTCTTTTAATCAATATAAGCTCAACATATCCACCGAAGAAAGTAAATTTTTGTTCGAAACCGTACAACTTGTCTAATATTTCATAATTTTTGCTTGAAATATAGCCCAAGCACACACTATCTACATAACTTTAAGAAAGCTTTTTCATTTTTAAATTCTGACGATTGCAACAAGTGCTACACTGACCGCCAACAATGATTTCATCCTCGAAGAGAATAAAGACAATTGCGTACAATTTGATGTAACAATGGAAAAAAAGTAAATAACCAAAATTGCTTGTGTAGTCTATGAATGTATCTATGTACTCGCAAACAAATAGTCTTGTATTGTTAATAGTTTTCTAAAAAAGAAAAATATATGTAGAAGAATCGTTCGATTTTACTGCTGTTAGACGAAAATGTCCGTTTAAAGGAGGGGGATCGTATGTGTACAGAAATCTCGTGAATTGTAGGTGATCCGTTCCTTTATTTCGACAGGTCAAATGACGTTATTGCTTTAGATGAAAACAGTAACCAATCATAAACACATTTCGCCACTTTCGGCGTATGTCCCGTATTCACAGATCGGAGTACCGGATTGTAGTCTTTGTATTCCGTGTTGAAAGTGTTAAATATTAACCCTTTGCACTCGGAATTCTAACTGTGTTGGTATTGTACATTCTTTACGTACATATGCTTTATGGATTATTCTCTAATTACAATATACAATTATACGAGGACAACATGCATCTATTTCTAAAGATTTCAGTTACAAGTGTATGGTTTTGAGCAAGTCCAGATTGTTTGGGCCAGAGCGATAGAGATACATATAAACGAAGTGTTTGGACCGAGCACTTGAGTTTATAACGTGAACGAAGAGTGTGTGGCCACTCAAGATATCAGAGATTATACAGTTTGTTCAAACCTAGTGAAAGAAAGCGGACGAGTTATTTTTGTGATATCTGTGGTAGAAAGCCCGGGCAATTGTTTCAAAAGACATCACATCTTAAAGCAGTATAAAATGTAAATATACATTAATAAATTAATATATAAATGATCAAATCTAGTGTTTCTCATTCATAGCAAACAAGTAATCCTAAATATTTCCTCATAAATTCTGTTATCAATTATCGAGTTGACGAAAGGAAATGTTAAAATGCTTCCACAATGTAAAGGGTTAATAATAATTAAATATAATCTTAACACGTTCGCCGGATGCCAAATAGCCTTTGCAAACCCCTATTTCTGAGTACAGGGTGCACCCCGAGAGTCAGAGATCGTCCAAAACTTGCGTAACTATGATTTATCACGGTCGTATGGTCTTCTGAAGATCGATTGCGCACACGCCTCACGACTCGGGATATTTAGGTTTTATGATTAAATTGGTGTAGTCTAATCTCGATGTTACAGTTGAATGTTTTTATTGAACCAAGAGTTTTCGTTTGACGAACAAATTTTTAGTTCTAGTTTCTGACTGAAATTGCAAACGCGATGCGTACTCTTTAATAGTACCTCTCTGAAGGAAGGTATCCTGGTTGGAATTTAGAGTTTTTAGATGAGACGAGGCGTCTGTCGCTATTAGAAAAGTCACTCGTCGCTAGATCGAAATCTAATCAACTTTGGGAATGTGAAGATTGCTTTTGAAGCAATTAACTCTTCGCAAAGCTTTTCCTAATATAGCCTGTAGATTTATTGTTTCTTTCGTTGTTACATTTCAGGAATGAAAGATTTTCGTTTTGCAAACGTTTGAAACGAGTATGAGTATGAAATTTCGTAATTGGTTTGGAGAGCTGATCTTTGTCTTCAGCTTTTACAAAATTTACACGAAGTGCAGAAGATGTTTCTACAGTTTGGCGTCGGCAGACTTTATTGTATTACAAACATTTGTGTAAATATTGGGTACACATTTTGATTCAATACGGGCGAACAGTTCCAGCTTATAGCTAACGGTAAAAACGACTACAGTTATTGCTGCATATCTTAAGTAATTTAAGATTCCTTTCCTCTTTTCTATGCAAGTACTTTTCAGCGGCTATCCTGGTTACTACTTCGAGATTCTGTCAAATGTCTTCCAGACATTCACTGATTTCTTTTAGTAATTGGGGTGTAAGATGTTCTCGTGTGTACAGCGTGTTAGGGAGAATATGTGTAAAGTTTATGCGATTATCTTGTATAATTTTGTCTGTTTCTTTATTATTTTTAAATTTAGAATTTCGTTTGGTGGTAATGGAATCTATGCAATCTGCCGTTATAATTATTAATGGTTTGGCGGTGAGTATCAAGGTTCAAGTAGGATTAGATGAGCAGATGATGATCATTTCTAGTGGGGGACTGATTACTATCCATCAGTTGCCTGAATGGAGTTGAATCCATATACTTTGACGGTTGCTAATCATTCGTACCGCACAGATCTTGTCGTTTAATTCGCTTACAGTATTTTTAATAATACAGGGTGTTCCAGAAATCGTGGTACAACCGGGCAGGGGGTGATTCCTCGTGAAAAATAAGTCGAAAGTACAGAATAAAGTTTTCGCATATGAGGCTTCGTTTCCGAGAAAAACAACTTTGAAAATCTATCCGGTACACGTGTACTAACTGTAAGTTTGGACTTAACGGATCTGTTATTGCTACTATCATAATTACTGTTATGCCGCAGTATTAGTTTCTTTTATTATGTATTTGATTCGAATAATTTCATAAATAAAGTTAAGACTATGTATTGATTTTTAAAATTTAATTGTATTATGAGTATTTTTTAGTTCTTAAAACGCCGAAACAGTGTTTCCTTTTAGTTCTTCAATACTCCTATTATCTCTGGAATATATTTAATGGAAGCGAATAATGATATTGCCCATATTTATAAATATAAACACGAGTAGAAACAGATAAGTCCAAACTTACAGTTAGTACACGTGTACCGGATAGATTTTCAAAGTCGTTTCTCTCAAAAACGAAGTCTCACATGCAAAAACTTTATTCTGCACTTTCGTCTTATTTTTTCACGAAGAATCACTCCCAGCCCGGTTGTACCATGATTGCTGGAACACCCTGTATATACTAAATGTCAGAGATCGGCGACAAGGGATTGTGATTGGTTACTGCTTACCGTTTCGTTTAAAGCTGTAACGTTATTTGACCTGTTTCATGTGACCCCTGCAGACAAAAAAATCCATGTCTTACGATTCACATCTTCTATGCCGACTGGTGTCATTCACGATGAACATGTCAATATAATAGTGTTATTATTATTACATTATATTACTAACTGTTCTTATTACAATTTATTATTTAACTGAAAATAATGTACAAAGTCATTAACTTTGTCATAATTATTTTGTACTTTATAGTAAATTAATGTAACAAATGTACATAATGTGCAGTTCTTAATGCTAACACACTAAGTGAAACACATGATGTATAAAAATAAAGAAATCATGTGCAAAGAAATTTTGTCTACACCTGTATATTTGTTAATTGTATCTGGAAATGTCGTTATAAATATATTATTTAAAACTATTATATGTACAGATATATTTCCAAAAAGTATATTTATAATTATTTTTCTATCGAAACAACTACGCTGCTCAAAACAATTAAAAGATGACATATTGTAGCCATTGTGCCAATTAACATGACGTACAGTACATATATAATTTCTGGAAATTTTTTTTTTAAATAAAGTTTAATTTAAGAAATAAATTTTGAGTAAACAAAAAATAGCTGTGTGACCTCAAATAGTTGATTGCTATCGTTGAAAAAATATTTTGTTTTCTCATTTTTGTTTAATGATTGTCTTAAACTCGATGTTTTTCACAGTATTATATGAATAACATGTCAATCTATGAAGCCTACAGCACTTCTTCCTTTTCTTTTGCTTAGATGGCGTAATAGAACCGTTCATAGCAGTGATCTTCTAATTGTTTTGAGCAGTGCACTTCCAAGTCTAAATATGCATATTGTACATATGTATGTATAGCACACAACGTCTTAGAGATGTCTGTTTTACGCCTATTTTTTGAACTGAACGTCTTATGACCTGATCTGAACATCTTGAAGACGTAAATACTTATGAATCTGTACATTCTAATAACGTATAAAAATGACATCTTTAAGATGTTTCTAAAGCCAACGTATAGTGCTTCGCAGCGCTACGTTTCAAAGACAGCTTGCTTTGTAACACTGGACGTCGTTCAGATGTTTTTTGGACATTTTTAAGTTCTTACTCGACGTGTTTAAGACGTTCACAAGACGTCTGCGTGCTACCTGGGATACGATGTCAGAAAATTAATTACCTTGATTTTCGCATTTTGTGTCGTTAAGATAATCAATATATATTTTGTTTTTATCGGTTTTTATAATTGAGAAAATATAAAAAGAAACTTGTTTCTCGGATTTGTAAGCGAACAGTTGGCATCTCAGCAGTGGTATGCATATAAGTACATATTTACATTGTTAAAAGGGATAACTATAATAATACAATAATTCTTTCATGAGGATAATTGTTATAATGACAATAAATTTGTTTCATTAATTTTTAAATATAATTTGATAAACTGCGACAAAAATTTTCTGTTTTTATGTGTATGCGTAATATACATGTTTATTCGTGTTATTTAAATTTCCTTTCATATTGAAATATGCGCGTTTTTAGACTGTGTTTATGTACAACTGTGGCGAATATACAACACTTATAACAGATAATAATTCTTATTACCACTAGAGGCGCTGATCAAGAACCTTTTACTATTTGGTAGGAGTCGCATGTATATATATGTGATACAACCTAAGAGGTTATATGTTTAAATACGAAGGATAGTTTGTTGGTTTTTTAATCACTTAATTAACTTTTATTGCACACTAAAAACTATACAATTTTCCATGAATTTACTCACAACTCGTTTTTATACAATACATAGGTATTGTTTACATAATGGTATCAATGGTATAATTAGGCGATGTAGTCATATGGGCCAACAGGATTTCAATGTACGACCAACAGTTAACTCAACAAGATATCCAGATTATAAAATAATCTATAACTTTCCTTATGTTTTACATGCTTCCTTATTAAATATAATGAAGCGTAATTTCTTGCTTTTTATGGGAGCAAGTATTCCAATAACTGTAATTCTACAAATGCTAGGTTACATAACAGTGAAGACTGGTATAAGTTTTATAGCATCTGGTAAGTTCAAATAATTAATATTTTTATACAAAACATATTTTAGAACTTTGCTTATGTAAGTTATTATGATTTTAGGTTTTGTGGTACTTGGTCCATTGCAGCTCATTTGCTTATTTTGCAATAATTCGATTGGAGCTATATACCTTAAAGATAATAAAAATGTTATAATATCGTATTTAAATTATTGGGGTAAGAGAGTAGATTTATCAACTGATGTTGATGATATCATTGTTGGAAGTACTGTTCCAAGTACTGTTCCTTTATATAAAATGATACACATGAAATCATGCAAAGCAAAGTTAAAATTACATACGAAATATGGGAAAATCATTGAAGAATCAAATTATCATGATATTTTTGATAATTTTAAGTAACTTTTATTAATTTACTTAAATAAGTATTATCAAGTCATACAATATTATGTATATTTTTTTCTACAACCACCTATAATGTGCATAAGCTCTGTTTGCTTCACATTGCTTGTGTAAATCTTGCTTCTTCTTAATAACTCGACCCTGAAACATAAATTGCTAAAATTAATTTGAAAATATAATCTTATATCCTCTAAATTTGATTTCTGTGACCAAAACCATCTTTTCATAACATAATATTTGAATTAAATACTTAGATGGTAATTAGATTAAAAGTATATATATATGTATATACTTTGTTTGCAGCAGCATTAATAATCTCTGTTGCTAATACATCAGGTAACTTCTCAGTATTTCCTTTTTCTTGTGCAGTTCGAATTAGCCAATTCATGGATAGAAATGTTGCTCTATTATCATTCATTGGTACAGGAACCTACATATAACAAGATCAGCCTGGTAGAAAATCACCTTTGGATCTAATATAATGTGTTCTCTTTCTTTAGGTGAAGTATTATGATATTTTTGTAGTTGTAATATTTTAATATTTTCAAAAGTTTTATCTACTAAGCTTCTAGCCAATTGTTTTTTACCCTTCCTCATAAGATAATTTGTGAATTTTCTAATACATAAAACATAAGTAATTAATTATTTACAACAAAAGTGTAGTTTTTTATTTTATTAAAAATTATATACCTAACTAGTGAATCATGAAATGTAGAACAGGTATCAGAAGAACAAGCTGGTTTTATCGATGAATGTGCTAATATTTCTGCATTTGTATTTTTATATAATTCTTGTTGTTCTATTTTCTTAAAAGTTGGTTTAATATAGTGTGGTGGAAAAACGCTATAAAATTGGATAGCACTTGCTAAATTACATCTGTAGAAGAAAATATTTAAATATAGTCACTGTTATTTATTTTTTAAAAATATATCTGAATTTTTATTTATTAATTGATGTACATATTAAATAACACTATTTGATAATCGATATTTCTTTTAAAATAATTGTTAAATGCATTTTTGTCAAATCCGCATGTAAACTAAATATATACTGTTATAAAGGTTATGTGATTAATTTTTGTTGATTTTCGAGAAAAATAATATAAGTTAGTAGCTAAAAACGTGTATATATAATTAAAAAAATTGTAAGAATTACCTTAAACCGTTTAGAAATAATGAATCAAATGTTCTTCTCAGGATCATTTTTTTATGTTTGTTTTGTAAATTTTACGTGAAAGTGACAGAGTATCAAACGTAACACACCTATGAATGGTTAGTGACATTCAATCGCATACACAGTGGGATGTAACTACATATGTATGTACATAAATAAAAAGAAATATATTTGAATTCCTATATATAATTTCGCTTTTTTATATTTTTGTGAAAAAAATGAAATAGAATAATATATGTTAATCACTGTAAATATATTTTAGTGCTTATCAAGAGCTAGTTCAATATATCGGCTTCTCCATAAACACTTAAAATTTTTGACAGCAATTTTTAATTCTTATAAATTTATTAATGTTCGACGATGTTGTAGATTTTCAATATTACAATTTCATTGCATCATGGTTTCATATTAAGTAATTTTGAGCAGTTTTACTTTTAACTAGGTAAAATGTTAGTCACCAAATTATTTATTATGTTAAAATTTAATAAAATTACTGTGTTAATTCATGAAAATAAGTTAAATAATGATGAAAAACATTCTTTCTCTTATAAAATTACATTTGATTATTGTCAATCTAAATAAGATAAACAGGTTATCAAATTTGAATCATTGTTAAGCTACGGAAAAAGCATGTATATTTTAAGGAGTTTTGGTATTACAATGTAATTTCTTGAAAGTGAATTTCTTTGAAATTTTGATTAATGATCGAAGTACATCTATTTACATACATCTTGAGTATATTGGGTTTAGTATTGTATAATAAATACAATGTTTTTGAACAAAACTTAATTGTAAAAGTGTATCAAAGAATGTTAAAAATAAACATCATTGTTCATTATCGATAAAATTAATTTTAAATCCCACTAGAATTTGTAAATGTTTCTATTTATGACCATGAATTATGATCATTTAAGAAAATAATTTGCTTGTAAAGTTACTACTAGCGCCTACAATGATTGAAGCGTAGAACTATAATAGTTCGTGATTTCCTTCATAGAGCCTCTAGACTTCTGAAAACATGTATATAAAACGAAAATAAATGAACAAGCAGAAGTAACTTAAAACAAGAAGTTTTTCTTAAGTTACTAAAATTTTGGTATAGATTAATGTAAATTTACCATCAGCTTTCATTCTTACTTACGCACACACATTGTATTTAATAGTACGTATGTTTGTTGTCACAGTCGTCAAATAAATAAGGAGTCCTGATAAGCTTATGGTAAGGTATACTTTTGTAATAGAAAGGGAGCTAAATTACGGTTAAAATCAAGTGTTTGAGAAAACGTAAGGTTTTTCTACACACTGTTTACAACGGAACGAAATTGCACAAATGGTGCGTTCGCTGCGAAATACATATGCTAGATTGTTAAAATCTTGCGGGAAGGTCTCCTAAAAGGAGTGCCTTTGATAAGAGGTTTTTCTCCTGGTAGTTAAATATTAAGAATCTTAAAAATGACGGAAAACCGCGGGAATTTTTCAACTGCGACTAATCAAAGTAAGTTTTAGTGTTATAGAGTTTACTAATAAGTGTATAAAAGATTTTATATACATAACCTAAGTGTTAATTTCTTTAGTGACGGGAAATCATAATTTTATCGTGCGCGTATATGACGGGAAGTCAATTTTATTGTGTGTACATGTGTACATATATAAATCTCTATTTTTTATTTTTAAGTATATATCATATTAAATTATCTATTGAATATTAATATGTAGGTTCTAGCAGACCATTTAATTTTCAACACTTGGATTTTGGATCTATTAACGATGTTCAAAATGAAATGTCAGGTATGATATTTGTGTGTCCTACATGCGTGCGCGCACGAGTGTATATACTGAAGATGCTCCAGAAGGAAATTGACAAACTTTCGTAGTATATGCAGCAGGTCATTCTGAGCCAACGAAGTCACATATACGATGGGTCTGTTTCCATATGTTAGAAATCTCCAAAAATGAGATACTATAGAATGATCTATACAAGGACCATTATTTTCTAAAATTTGGCATGTATCTTTTATTGTACTTTCTTTTTTTTTTATTTACATCTTGCAGGTGGTTTTCAAACTTGTCACTCATTATTTGTAAACATAGTTGTACTCAATGTTATAATGAATGTTGCCATTGTATTTGCAAAATGTGATTTTGTATGTCTTCACTTTTATTATTCATTGTTTATATTAGTAGCTTATGAGTTTGATTTTTCAGAATAATAACTAATAACTTTAGATTTCATGTAGTTCTATAAAAAATCCAATGGATTTAAATTTGGCAACTAGAATAGACATATGTACATGGTGAAACAGAATGGTAACAAACTCCTTGATTAGAAAGTAGTAGCTGATAGCAGTGCAGTATAATTCACAGTAAAAAACATGTAAGGCATTACTCACAAAAAATTAGAAAAGGAATTAGACTGAAGTATTTTGTTTCTTGGGTGAGTTAATGTTTGCAGCTACTTTACATTTGATTTAAATAATACTTATCTGAATACTTATGACTGTGTTCACTAATAAGAGGTCATTACTTTGAACAGCATTTGTAGAGTGTAATTAAAAACAAAACAGTTGAATAAAAACCACAGGAAAAATGAATAAACACTATTCTTTGTAGGTATGTGGCTGTAACATCTTATTTGTGTTCTAACTTTTTAACGCATGGAAATAGAGCCGTACTCTATAGGGTGCAACCGAAAAGGAGGTAATTCCTCATGTAAAAGTAAGTCAGAAATATACAGTAAAAATTTTTCGTATAAAACTCCGTTTTCGAGAAAATCGAATTTAAATATTCGTTAAGTACGCGTGCACTTGACTAGCTTAATTCGCATAATCGGATTATTCACCTCTATTTCTATTAGTCTGGATTTAGTATAGTTTAAAATAATGTAATAAGTTTCAGTAATGTTTTCATATTATTAATTGAAAAATTGATGAAAATATGGTTCTTAATGTCGCTAAAGAAGCATGAACCGATGATAAGGTGTTCAAATTCTTCACTTCCTCAAACGCTTCTATGAAATTGTTTTTTAATTCAAAACGATTTTGATTATCATTAGAATAGTAGAGTCACATTAAAGAAATAATTTATTCTAAAGTTAATAAATATTCAAACTCGATTTTCTCAAAAACAGAGCCTTATTCCTAAAAAATTTTATTCTATATTTCGGACTTACTTTTATGTGAGGAATCACCTCTTTTCTGATTATACTACAATTTCCGGAACACCATATATATGACCTTTTTGACTAAGAATGACATGTCAAATATGCTATAGGAGTTTCTTGATTTTCTTGTGGAATATCTTGTATATTATAATATAATATTCAGTATGTGTGAGTGTGGGTGTTTAATGGAATATATACATATTGTTAGTTATAATATAATAATGGATGTGTTTACTTTACAATAGAAAAGCGAAGACAATTCAAGCTTAATTTTCAAACACAAGGTAGTAATATACCATTTACCAATTCAACAAATTCATCTCTTTCTAATTCAACGGGATCTGCAGCTTGTTTGCCAATGTAAGTTATTTAATGAACAAGTGTATGTTGATATTTGAATTATGGTTTTTAATTCATACTTTTTAATGTAGTTATTGTCCTCTTTAATAATTGTAGATCTTCTCGTCCAAATTTGCCTTTATCTTTACCTAAACTACCAGTGAGACCATGTATTGCAGTTCCACAAGAATTGCCTGATAAAGCAAGGTAATAAAAATGTAATAGGAGGAATTGATTAACAATATTATGATAAACTGTAATGCATTGTATTATAGGGATAAACTACGAATGTGTCAGTCAATGCAAAGTACTGGAAAATTGCAGCTATCACCAAATGTAGTATTTGATTTCACAAGTGAAGATCTTCGAGATCTGGGAGAAATAGGGCGTGGAGGGTTTGGTACTGTAAATAAAATGATTCATAGGATAAGTGATACTGTTATGGCTGTGAAGGTATGTAACTTAATTTTATTATTAAAGTAAGTTGTAGTTTTTCATAATATTGTATCTGTTTATAGAGAATTCGTTCTACAGTGGATGAAAGGGAGCAAAAACAACTATTAATGGATTTAGAAGTTGTAATGAAGTCTAATGAATGCCCATGCATTGTGCAATTTTATGGAGCTTTATTTAAAGAAGTAAGTCAGTGAAAGTTTACAGAATATTAACTTTTCTTAACTAAATATCATATTTTGGTTAGGGTGACTGTTGGATTTGCATGGAGCTCATGGACACCTCACTAGATATATTTTATAAGTTTATTCATGAGGTATTAAAGGAAAGAATACCAGAACGTATTTTAGGAAAAATTACTGTTGCCACAGTAAAGGCGTTAAATTACCTCAAGGAAAAATTAAGAATAATTCATAGAGATGTAAAACCTAGCAATATACTGTTAGATCGACACGGAAATATAAAACTTTGTGATTTTGGTATATCAGGACAATTGGTGGACTCTATTGCACGAACCCGAGATGCTGGATGTAGACCATACATGGCAGTATGTAAAATAATGAATTGCCAAAAACATTTTTATTATTTATGTTATTTATAAATAGTATTTGTATGTATTATAATTTTTTAGCCAGAAAGGATAGATCCTCAACGTGCAAAAGGTTATGACGTTAGAAGTGATGTATGGTCACTAGGGATTACATTAATGGAAATTGCAACTGGTTATTTTCCTTATCCAAAATGGAATTCAGTTTTTGAACAACTTTACCAAGTAGTTCAAGGTGATCCACCACGATTATCTCCTAACGAAAATGGAAACCACTTTACTATGGACTTCGTAAATTTTGTGAACACATGGTAAATTTATATTTATTTATATAATTATTTAAGGAAGAGACACAGCGACCGAAATACAACAAATTGTTAGAACATCCTTTCATCAGAAAGGCGGAAGAAGATACAGTTGATGTTTCGGCTTATATAAGTGGCGTTCTCGATAACATGTCTCTCAGGGGATTGACGCCTTTTACTACTAATCGGCATTAAATCGAAAATATGAGTAATATACATTTGTACCTTACTTTCTATAATTTTTCAAATCTTAAATTTGATTACTGTAAATGAGTAGGTTATTTGCACTCAGATTTAGTGTAGGTAGTAAAATTAATCAATATCGATCATTGTCGATAATAAATCATTTTGTGTAGAATTATATTATCATGTCCCAGAGTTCTTATATCTACATACATACATATATACAGTATGTTCGGTTTATCTCAGAACACGGAAGTAAGCGTTACTCGATGTACACCACGGGGAGGTTACTCAGTTGGACAATGTTTTGGAAACATTAAAAAACTGCGATTTTATGTTCCGGCAATGCCATACCAGTAATAGCATTATTAAAAATATCTTTATCTCTTCCCGCGGTGTACATCGGGTAACGCTACTGCCGGTGACATGTAAAACTTGGAAGTTGATATCTCGATAATAATTTACGTAAAAGCCATAAGTATACAGTGTTCTGAAAATGTCTCGATGTCAGCTATAAGAATACATAATCAAAAATATATGTTTGCATTTAAAAACTTAAACATGACCTTTACAGAGCTTTTCAAGGTCATTGGAAGGTTAAAAAAATATCAGAACAATATGTTGCCCTTTATACCCTACAACTTTCGTCAGAAACATTTTTTTTTATCATTCGTAGTTTTCAAGATGCTTCCGTGTTCTGAGATAAACGGGACATACTGTATATGTACATATGTATATATGATATATATATATGGTAATCGCTATACATATATAGCGTATATATACATATATAGCGATTACAGGTGTTCTAATAACAAGTTGACATTTATCGAATAGTATATAGATGGAAAATTCTAAATCAGCTTTCCCATTCAGTGAAATACATTTATGAATCAAAGAAAAAAGATGCTTGTTTCATATCTTGATTAATTGCAATTATTTCCATGATGATTTTTAATAGTGATACATTTAAATAGTTTACAATTTCAAAAACATGTAATGAAATTATGATAAATATGTTTTACTTTTGTAATTTGATGATATTACAAGTAAGCGAGAAAAGAGATAAAATAATATAGTAATTCTTGTTGAAATAGGTGAGAAGGGTATATACTAAAAGTTCAGTATATTATCTTGATATACTTCCTGAATATTGTAGAGGTAATAAGAAAAAAAAAAAATTACTTTTCATTTAATTTTTGCTTTTTCTCCTGTCAATATATATTTAAAGTTATTAAATAGGTATAAAGAATAGTTTTATTTTATTTAGTTTAGTATTATGAGAGGATTATTACATTAGTAGAAATTGCAATAGTGTTATAATAAAATTGAAACATTTTTCTTTACTTTTACGTTACTATTATGAAAAACATGTTTGTTATTCCAGAAAAACAGCAAAATCATCATATTGAACGGAAATTGTCTTGATTTTTATAACAATATGGTTCCTCTGTTACAATAAATATGTGTGTACATGAGCAAATAAGAAACACACACAATAAACAATGTATAAAATAAATAACATATAAATATAATTACGTATTTAATATATGCATGCGTATATAATAATGTAATTTTTTAAAACAAATTTAGTATCGTAAATTTTATAAAAAATTTTGAAAAAATACAAGCATTTGAAAAATTCGTCATATTTTGCAAAGAGCAAGAGAAAAATATCTTAACTATAAAAATTTTACTCTTTTATACGTGAAGAAGATGGTGGCTGTCAGCATAAGTTTTTATCACATGGTAAAAGTAACACGAGATAATCACATCTACTTATTCAAATACAGTTTTGTGAACGATAAAAATTTTAATAAATAAATTGATTCAATTTTTTAATGATTTTTCTATGAATATACGAGCAAAAAAATTCCGTGTACTTTTTTAAATTTTCGAGTTACTTTGATGAATATAAATGTACGAAAACTAGGTAATTACTATTAGAGAACATTGTGATATAAAAGAATATTAATCTTGTACATATGATAAATATTTCTGAAAAAGAACGTTTGTTTCTTTCAATTTGATTTGTTATGTTATTATCACAGAGAATTGTATTTATATATTTAATATACATACAATATGTTTAAAGGTAAATTTTAACTATAATCGATAATCTTGACGAACATGTATCTACATACGTATAAATGTGAAGTAGTAGTAGCTATATATACGTATATACATATTGTATATATACATCTGTATTATGGTACCGTTCATATGTATAAGAAGATGGCGGTAGTATGGTGCCAGTGGTTGTTAGTGACTGTAATGGCAACTTTAAAGGTAGTATTGGTATTAATTCGAATTCTTTGAAAATTTTTTTAGACCGGCTGCAAAATAATAACAAACATTTAATTTATCTATTAAGAACAACGAATGAATTTTAAGTACTTGAAGCTTTCCTTGAAATTAAGTTGTTTTGTTGTTATTTAATGAAAATGTATAATGTCCAATTTAATTCATTTTAATTTTCAAATTTTGCTAAAAAATATTATAAAATTGACAGATTTTCTCGTTTTCCCTGTAGTACTTTTGAATTGAGTGTAAAAGCGAGACTTTTCTGACAAATTGATGTGCAGTACTTATTTCGGTAAGTATTCAATTAATTACAGTTTGTGTAACTATACTTGCATGATACTTTGAAAAATAAGAAACTATGTTTCACTAGAGAAGATAAATGAAGAATGTAAATGTAAGTACTATTAAAAATAAAATAATATTTTTCTACAATCATATTTGACTATAATATACCATCTTTTGTGTTATAAATTTTTTTACAATAAAATACATTTATATGTAATAGAATCGAAATATCTTTTATAACATTCGTTATCACTGTGTTAAATTCTTTATTGCGTTGTTCTTCTCTTTGGCAATTTGTAAGAATTTTGAAAAATAATAATACTCGTTTTATAATTAGAAATAAATAACGAATTGTACATTATTAAAACTTATTATTATTACCTGATAAATATAAACAATATACTATGCTTTTTCTAGATATTTAACCATTACTGTTGATGTAAGTATTACTCTTGCTGTCGTTGCCGTTGCTTCTGTGGTAGTTGGAATCAATTGTTTTGAATATTTTATGAGAGTACCATCATTCTCCTGAAATGTATACATATGTATACACATGCGCATCTATATTTGTAACTTCGTGGGGTAGTATACTATCGTCCATAAGTATTTGGACACTTTAACGTTATCGGAAAAATATCAAATATACTTTTAAATGTAATTTTGATTGTTGTTTTCATTTCATAAGGTCATACAATGTTAATAATGAGTAATCAAGAATATACTTGAGTGTGATGTTTCTACGCAATGATTGTTAGGGTCGTTGGGCGATTGAGATATAAATATATGTATTTTTAGGTAATTCCACAATTGTTTTTCTCATATTTGACACCTCACTCTAACTTTTCTATCCATTTCATCCTATAATTTCTCGATCGGATCTAAATCGGACAATTATGGCGTCTACTGCATAATTTCGAGCTCATTATTATCCTTTAGTTGTTTCAAATAATTCAGATACACTTTTGTATTATGTTTGGGATCGTTGTCTTGCACAAAGACGAAGTTTCCGCCAATAAGTCTATTCCCCGATGGCGCTGCATGTTCTTTTAGAGTGTTCAGATACTGCTTTTTCGGAAGAATTCCATATATTTTGACTAAACTCTCTACTTTATTTACACTGAAACACCTACATATTTAACCGCAGGCATAACTAAACTGACCAGATTTTTTGAAGCTAAATTCAATACATGTTTATTGAAGAAAAAGAAAAATGGATACATTTCGTAATTGTAATGAAAGAAAATTACATTCTAATTGAATTATTATATTTAATGAATTAGAAAAAATAAAAAAATCAAACTCTCTACATTTTTATTATTAAACATAACGATTGTTTAATACTTAAGTACCTAATACTTGAATAATGGTTAGATATATTTACTTAAAGAAGAAATCGCTTTCGTTAATTCTTCATTATCTAAAATTTCTTTACAAAACTGACCACAGTTTACACTAATATTGTACTTTACAATTAACGTTTTTCAAAGTATCTAACCCTAATTGACTTTTTCCATTGTCCAAATTTTACTTATTATTGAATACATGAAAGATATTCAGTTACTTTAATTATATATTTTTTTTAACATTCAATGTTAGTTTTTAAAATCAGTACAACATTGGGAAATCAAATTTAAATTAGTACAGAGCCTTTAAAATCAGCACTGTACTAAATAAATCAGTACGTCTGGTCACGCCTGTTCCATTTACTAAGGGTTTGAATATATCAGTCTTCAGCTTTGTAGCTTTTTTCCGCCATCTTGTCTTTAGCTTACTCTGTCCATGAATTTGATAACTGTATATTGCACTACAGAACTAAATAGAAACATTGACACTATGGACGCTATTTGCCTAATCGAATAGAGCCTTCCTTTTTTTAAATTAAAATAGGGGAAGGCTTCTCTCGTGTTAATTCTTTTCCTCTCGCTATGATTGTGATTAAATACACTGCTGAACCGCACTCAAGGGAGTGTCTCCTCAGTGCTTAACTATTTTCATCCAGCTTTTGTTATTTGTTATTTGTTCAGAATGTTAACATTATACGACGAGTGGTAAAAATGGCATTTAATTGTTTTACTCGAAGTATATTTCGTATTTTTCCGATAATGCGAAAGTGCCCAAATACTTATGGACGGTACTGTATCTGGTCTTTTACGTTAACCATTGAAATACGTCCACATCATGTTTCATGTGGTGACCTATAAACATTTCTTAAGGGTATATGTTAAAACCTATCGATCTCGAGTCGATTTACACTTTTCAAGGAAACATCGTTATCGTTTTAAATAGCTTCCTTCAAGTTGTTTATATACTTCCTCTACTCTATTTAAATTGCTTTAATTAACGTGGAGAACAATTGGTTCTTTAAAAATGTGTGAACATTTCTCTAATTACTTTACAATTATCCTATATGCATTTATCACATT